TGTACAGTAGCATGTATTCTTGATACTCCTGTCGTTCACACTGCTTAACTATAACTGTGTAGCTGTAAACTTTCTGGGCTGATCCAATAGATGCTGTAGTGTCCTCTCGAGTGCCCAGGTTAGTCACTAGACGGCCATGTTGGAGAGGACTAAACAGCTCAGGGCCTAGGTTAGTCACTAGACGGCCATGTTGGAGAGGACTAAACAGCTCAGGGCCTAGGTTAGTCACTAGACGGCCATGTTGGAGAGGACCAAACAGCTCAGAGCCTAGGTTAGTCACTAGACGGCCATGTTGGAGAGGACCAAACAGCTCAGAGCCTAGGTTAGTCACTAGACGGCCATGTTGGAGAGGACTAAACAGCTCAGAGCCTAGGTTAGTCACTAGACGGCCATGTTGGAGAGGACCAAACAGCTCAGAGCCTAGGTTAGTCACTAGACGGCCATGTTGGAGAGGACCAAACAGCTCAGAGCCCAGGTTAGTCACTAGACGGCCATGTTGGAGAGGACCAAACAGCTCAGAGCCCAGGTTAGTCACTAGACGGCCATGCTGGAGAGGACCAGGTGCCCAGGGCTTGCCGGCCCCCATATTAAGCCCAGCTGAAAGCCGAAACCTCCCACCTGTAAACTCAGAGCCCTCTCACTGGGCTGGGCTCCATGGTTACGGTATGTCCCAGAGAAGCCTGTCAAAATGTGAAATTGCAGGCAAGTATTTTCATCAGGCAGGCGGTGTCACACCCTGATCTGTTTCACCTGTCTTGTGCTTGTCTCCATCCCCCTCCAGGTGTCGCCCATTTTCCACATTATCTCCTGTGCATATATACCTGTGTTTTCTGTTTGTCTGTTGCCAGTTCGTCTTGTCTTGTCAAGCCTACCAGCGGTTTTCCCCATACTCCTGTTTTCGCTCTAGTCCCTGTTTTCTAGGTTTCCCGGTTTTGACCATTCTGCCTGCCCTGACCCTGATCCTGCCTGTCGTTTTGTACCTTGTGACACTGCCCCTAATTACTGACCTCTGCCTGACCCTGAGCCTGCCTGCCATTCTGTACATTTCGGACTCTGCTCTGGATTACTGACCTCTGCCTGCCCTTGACCTGTTGCTTGCCTGCCCCTGTTGTTGTAATCAACTTTTGTTACTTCGAACTGTCTGCATCTGGGTCTTATCCTGAGGTCTGATAGGCGGTGAGAGGGAAGCACAGGGAAGCATTTGTCCCTGGGAACATTGTAGGAACGCTGTGGGAACACCAAGCCCCGCGGCCCACTCATCTTGCAAAACCGGAATATTTACTGGAATATTTTCACACCTCAGATGGTTCTCAGATGGAGTGACCAGGGGGCCTGCCTGAACCCTCTCACAGTGTCACACAGGTACAAACAGGTATGCTGAGTAAGTACTACTAGAACCAGCCAAGTCCTAAACTGTTTCTCTCTTCACCATTGCTCTGCTCCTCCACACACAACACACACACATGCACAAATGCCCACAGCCCCCCCCCCCCCCCCCCCCCCCCCCCCCTCCCCCTCCCCCTAGTGAACACAGCACTACAGCTCTTAGGCCTCAATATCTCTGCCTCCACAAACACAGGAAGGAGAGGTTTTACTGATACCCCTCTCCTCCCCGTCTCCTCCTCTCTCTTCCCCCTTTTCTCCCTAGCTGACTGTGTACGGACAGGAGCCCTAAGAAATGCCCCGGTTTCATTGAGGAAAATTATCAGCCAATCACTGTGGACACCCACTCCCCTCTCTCCAAATCATCTGGGACATCAGAGGGCCTGCCTTATTGGAGGCAGACGAGAGAGAGAGAGTGAGATCAGTGATGCCATGTGGTCTGCATTTCAGGGTAATCCCTGCTCTCTGGTATGCTGGCCTTCTTACCGTCTGATTTGAGAAGAATCAGAGAAGCAGGGAAACACGAGCCTCTGTGCTGTTTCTTCCCAAACCCACTGTGACTGCTCCCATCACCAGGGGATATGTGCCCTGAGTTCTGGGATGATAGATGTGCTGATCTATGGCACATAAATTGTGTTTATATGTGTCAGTGGTGGATGGAAGACCCTGGGGGTGTAATGTACCTAACACACACAGACAGTTTCCATAGAAATGTGTGTCCTGTGGTGATGGTGTGGGTGGAGGGTGAGGGGTGTCAGACTGCAGGGAGGGTCCCGTTGTTAAGGCTTATCTCTGGAGATCCAGTGACAGTAAAGACAAAAACTCATTGTATAGATTAGATGCCCCAAGTACTAGCCTTCTCTTTTCTATATGTGTAGGTTTAACGTAGAAGTTCTGTTCCATGTATACTGTGTCTCTGTATTTCTCACAAACCGATAAGGTAAAGTCTCCATATAAGTGTTAGCGTTTACTCCATACCTGTTTTTTCTTTCCTCGTTAGTACTTCTAGTCTATGTATTTGACAACGTGGAAATCAACACAGAGAAGCTCTCCCCCTCTCCCTCTCTCTGGGCATGGGTACAGACAGACTGTAGCAGGACTCTGGAGCTCTCCCTGGTGACACGTCTACACATGTGGGCAGCCAGCCCCTGGTCCATGCCAGTCATCCTACCTGCCTGCCACTACTAAACACACACCTGGAAGGAATCATGCCTGGGTTTGGCTTCAGGGCACAACTAGCTGGACTCAGGATATTGACAGGATATTTAAAACATTTTATGTTGGTACCTAGTCAGCTGCAATTATTTTAATGAATGATATTAAGCCACACGCTCTGTCTCACACACACACACACACACACACAGACAGGCAGACAAATAAAGAAAGAAAGAAAGAAAGAAAGAAAGAAAGAAAGAAAGAAAGAAAGAAAGAAAGAAAGAAAGAAAGAAAGAAAGAAAGAAAGAAAGAAAGAAAGAAAGAAAGAAAGAAAGAAAGAAAGAAATATGCAACCCTCTTATCTATCTGAGTTATTTTCTTTTGTCCAAAAGAGACATGTCAAAAGAAATATGACAAACAAGAGTATAATCTTTGACACAGCATATATTTCATTTTAACATACATTCATACTCAGAATAGTCTTCTTCAGTGTATAAGTCTTTACAGATCTATGTTTCTATAATGAATAGCATGTTACTATAGAAAAGCTTAGGTTTATGTGGTTGTACATGGTAGCCATACATAGGTCAGTCCCTGTGCCCTGGCAGTAGCGTATGGTACACTGTGTGTGGAATATGGTTCAGTGAGTGTGTGGCTAGTGTGTGTTGTATGTTATCGATTTAGTGTGTGTGCATGTGGTGTATGATTTGTGTATGATTTGTGTGTGTTGGCTTCTTTGTGTGTGGTAAGGTGTAGGGACGGTGATGTGTGTGTGTGGTACATGCGTGTTTGTGTAATAAGGTGTAGGGACGGTAATGTGTGTGTGTAGACTTCGTTGTATGTGGTAAGCTGTAGGGACGGTGGTTTGTGGTGTGGTATGTGGTAAGCTGTAGGGACGGTGGTTTGTGGTGTGGTATGTGGTAAGCTGTAGGGACGGTGGTTTGTGGTGTGGTAAGCTGTAGGGACGGTGGTTTGTGGTGTGGTATGTGGTAAGCTGTAGGGACGGTGGTTTGTGGTGTGGTATGTAGTAAGCTGTAGGGACGGTGGTTTGTGGTGTGGTATGTGGTAAGCTGTAGGGACGGTGGTTTGTGGTGTGGTAAGCTGTAGGGACGGTGGTTTGTGGTGTGGTATGTGGTAAGCTGTAGGGACGGTGGTTTGTGGTGTGGTATGTGGTAAGCTGTAGGGACGGTGGTTTGTGGTGTGGTATGTAGTAAGCTGTAGGGACGGTGGTTTGTGGTGTGGTATGTGGTAAGCTGTAGGGACAGTGGTTTGTGGTGTGGTATGTGGTAAGCTGTAGGGACGGTGGTTTGTGGTGTGGTATGTGCGCTCGGAGAGAAAAGTGCTTAAGTCATCTTGCACAGCATCCCTGCTCCACCCAGCCCTGTCTGTCTGTCTGTCTGTCTGTCTGTCTGTCAGTATCTGTATGGGCAAACTCCCCCTTGGTTTGACACAGACTAAGGATGGGATTCAATCCTATTTCTGATTGAGCCAACATATGCAGCGTTTAGCGTGAATTGGATCTTGGCGAAAATGGAAACATTGCCTTTCAAAGCCACAATGCCTATAACTCGCGATCGGGCAGAATCCCGGCCTGTGAGTGATTCTGTGAGTGATTTTGTGAGTAATTATTTGACTTGGTGAGTAATTCTGTGAATCTGTGACTGATTTGATGAGTGGAGCAGTATCAGGGCTTTACGGGGACAAATGGCCACACAACTAAACCGCTACTCAACCCCAACACAACATGGTCATGTACACCTGGACCGCAAATAATAATGTCTGTCTGTCTGTCTGTCTGTCGGTCAGCGTTCCTCCTCTGGGCGGTTCTCTCAGACTGACAGACAGGCGTGTCTCTCCCTTTACATCCAGCACTCTAGATGAGTCCCTAAAGCAGCAGCAAAGACAGAGGGCAAACTCAGCCCCCCCCCCCCCCAAAAAAAAAAAACTCCACCCCCCTTTCCCCACCACGCCATCCCCTTTTCCCCGGGTCCAATATGTACCCCACCCTCAGTCCACTCTCCCCCTCACCGACCCAACCCCCGATTCACTCACAACAATGTCAAATAAGTTAAAAAACAAAACGAAAGTAAATGAAAAAAAGATATAACAAAAGCAACCAAAACAATGAGAACCAACTGCGAGTGAGACAAGAGGAAGAGAGTGAAAATACTCTGTTGTGACTTGGAAAACATATATATGTCTTTTTAGTTGTGTACATCCTGTGCATGTGTATCATTTTCCTTTAACATTGTATGAACTGACTGGGAGCGCCCATGTCCTCTGTCCGTCTCAGTCTGTCTGTTCCCGTGGTCTGTTGTGAAAGGACTAGGGGTGGTTTTGAAACGGGGGAAAGGTAAACCACAAACACCCTCCCCCTCTCCCTCCCTCCCACCCTTCTGTGCAGGTGAGAAGGGAGGGATTGGGGTGTTTGTTTGGGTCTCCATTGGGGATTTCCATGGTGATCACCGGCAGGTGTGCATCTCCACCATCTTGCGGCACTGTTTGCACTTGACGTAGCAGCACCAGTGGAACTTACAGCTGCACCTGTCTACCACCTCCACCTCCTCTGTCTGGAAGCCCCGGCCGCAGCACATCAGCTCACAGCCGTCGATGGCCTTCGATGTCCGGTTACACTGCCGCCCCGCCGTACCCAGCATGCCTGGTGTGTGCGGGTCGTGGTCACAGAAGTCAGGGCTGGGGTCAAGGTAGACCAGGTCTTCGTCTGTGTGAGGTTTGAACTGGGAGTTCCGTGGCACCAGGACCTTGGTGGTGCCCACCTTGCGCTGCTCCACCTCTGTGGCGCCGTCAAATTTCTCCTTGATGGCGTTGCCCACCTTGCGGAATGCGGGCATGGCCTTCCAGCAGGTCTTCACCTCACAGGAACCTGACACGCCATGACACTTACACTCCACACGCATGTGGCTCAAGATGGCCTGCAGGGAGACAGAAAGAATCCATGTTTTTATCTCATATCTTTTTCTTTGCTGTTGACTTTGCTATGACATAGTTGATGGTTGTTATATGTCATACCTTCCTCCCGGCCTCATTGTTGTGTAGGTTCATGAGTGCTCTGCTAGGGGACTGTCCTTTACTCCTCTCCCTTACATCAACAAAGGATTGAGAGAAGGCCACTCCATAAGCTATGTTATCACTACAGCCTGACCACTGGAACCCTGAGAGAGAGAGAGAGAGAGAGAGAGAGAGCAGAGAGATAGAGAGAGAGAGAGAGAGAGAGAGAGAGGAGAGATAGAGCGATAGAGAGAGAGAGAGAGAGATCGCAGACTCGATATCTGCGATCTTCCTCTCTCGCTCTCTCTCTCTGCTTCTCACTCTATCGCTCTCTCTCTCTCTCTCCTCTCTGCTCTCGATCTCTTCTCTCTCTCTCGTCTCCTCTCTCTCTCTCGCTCTCTCTCTCTCTCTCCTCTCTCTCTCCTCCTCCTCTCTCTCGCTCTTCTCTGCTCTCCTCTCTCTCAAGATGGTGTCATCAGTCAAACAGTGTGTACCTACCGTGTGTGTGTCCGTGTCCTACCTTCTGGACTGACTCCGTGGACGTTGTGGTCACAGCCACATTTCTCCAGCTCTCCGCTGCTGCAGGCCCGGGTCACAGCGAACGCCACACTGGCTGCTGAGATGGCATAAACAAAGGCTGCCTCCCGAGTGCCTGTCAAAAACACACAGGCCAACGTTAAACACACTGACTATCTGTCAGTCACCGTCTGCATGATGACCCTGAAATGCCAATGTTTTTATCCTGAGAAGTTATTAAGTACATTTATTCTCAAATGAGTTCTTGATACTGAGCCGTACCCTGTGTGACAACCTTGCCGAAGACAGGCATGGTTTCAAGGGTGGAGCAGTTCCATCGGCGGTTCCGGAACTGAAACTGGCACTCGTCTATGGCTAGCTGAGCCCCACGCCGAACAGCATCCATCACTTCCACATTGCGCTTACAGATCTGCACCTGGTTAGAATAATGATCATAATATTACAGATCTGTATCTGGTTAGAATAATGATCATAACATTACAGATCTGCACCTGGTTAGAATAATGATCATAACATTACAGATCTGTGCCTGTTTAGAAGAATGATCATAACATTACAGACCTGTACCTGGTTAGAATAATGATCATAACATTACAGATCTGCACCTGGTTAGAATAATGATCATAACATTACAGATCTGTGCCTGTTTAGAATAATGATCATAACATTACAGATCTGTACCTGCCCATACAGAGAAAAAAATACATTTCAATATATTTAACGTCACGTAAAATGTATTTCAAAAATATAAACGCAACTTGCGACAATTTCAACGATTTTACTGAGTTACAGTTCATATTCAGAAATCAGTCAATTGAAATAAATTCATTAGGCCTTAATCTATGGATTTCACATCACTGGGCAGGCATGGGTGGGCCTGGGAGGGCATAGGCCCACCTGCTTGGGAGCCAGGCCCAGCCAATCAGAATGACTTTTTCCACCGAAAAGGGCTTTATTACAGACAGAAGTAGTCATCAGTTTCATCAGCTGTCTGGGTGGCTGGTCTCAGACGATCCCGCTGGTGAAGAAGCTGGACGTGGAGGTCCTGGGCTGGCATGGTTACACGTGGTCTGCGGTTGTGAGGCCGGTTGGATGTAATGCCAAATTCTCTAAAACGATGTTGGAGGCGGCTTATGGTAAAGAAATGAACATTGTGTCATGTATAGTAACCCTAGGTGTAAAATAGTAAATAATGGCTATTTCTCAGAAAGTTTTAAACTGTCAAGAGGAGTGAAACAAGGTTGTCCACTATCGGCATATCTATTTACTGTGGCCATCGAGATGTTAGCTATTAAAATCAGATCCAATAATAATATCAGAGGATTAGAAATACAGGGCTTAAAAACAAAGGTGTCATTGTACGCTGATGATTCATGTTTTCTTTTAAATCCACAACTAGAATCCCTCCACAGCCTCATAGAGGATCTAGATACATTTTCTAACCTCTCTGGATTACAACCAAATTATGACAAATGTACTATATTACGTATTGGATCACTAAAAAATAAAAATTTTACATTACCATGTAGTTTACCAATAAAATGGTCTGATGGTGATGTGGATATACTCAGAATACATATCCCAAAGGAAATAAATGATCTCACTTCAACACATTTTAATAGAAAGTTAGCAAAAATGGATAAGATCTTACTACCATGGAAAGGAAAATACCTGTCAATTTGTGGAAAAATCACCCTGATTAACTCTTTAGTATTATCCCAGTTTACCTATTTGCTTATGGTCTTGCCTACGCCTAGCGAACAGTTTTTTAAATTATATGAGAAAAAAATATTCAATTTTATTTGGAACGGCAAGCCAGACAAAATTAAAAGGGCATATTTATATAATGAATATGAATTCGGAGGACAGAAATTATTAAATATTAAAGCATTAGACCTATCACTAAAAGCTTCAGTCATACAAAAGTTATACTTAAATCCGAACTGGTTCTCAAGCAAATTAGTAAGATTGTCTCACCCAATGTTCAAGAAAGGCCTTTTTCCCTTTATTCAGATTACAACAACTCATTTGCAGTTATTTGAAAAGGAAATCATCTCCCAAATATCACTATTTCTAAAACAAGCCATAGAAAGTTGGTTGCAATTTCAATGTAATCCTCCAGAAACGACAGAACAAATATTGTGGTTAAATTCAAATATACTAATTGACAAAAAACTGAATGTTTAAAAAAGGTATAATCTTCGTAAATGATATCATCGGTAGGACTGGTGTAGTTATGTCGGACATGCAGCTAACAAAAACATATGGAAATGTCTGCTCTACCCAAAATTACAACCAAATAATTGCAGCCTTACCGCAAAAGTGGAAGAGGAAAGTGGAAGGGGGAGAAAGTAAGGAACTTGTCTGTCGGCCTTTCATTAAAGAACATAATTGGTTAAGGAAAACTGTGATAAATAAAAAAGTATATCAGTTTCACTTAACCCTCCCGTTGTCCTAGGGTCAAAATGACCCGCCACTGTGTTGAACCAACTTTATTTAATTTTTATATTTTTGGGATCATTTGTGAGAAGGAGGCAGTGAGACTTTAAAGAAAGTATCACTGCCTCCTTCTCACAAATGATCCCAAAAAAAAAATTGTTTTAATAAAGTTGGTTCAACAAAGTGGCGGGTCATTTTGACCCTAGGACAACGGGAGGGTTAAGGACCAAAGGATTGACAGCCGTCCCATATAGATTGCAAAATAGTTGGGAAGAGATCTTTGACGTACCGATCCCATGGCATAGTGTTTATGAACTGACACGCAAAACGACACCGGATTAAAAAATTAGAATCTTTCAATTTAAATTATTATATAAAATTCTTGCTACCAATAGAATGTTATTTATATGGGGGATACAATCTTCCCAGCTCTGCAGATTTTGCTGTGAAGAGACAGAATCATTAGATCATTTGTTTTGGTTCTGTCCATTTGTAGCTTGTTTTTGGACACAGGTCCAGGAATGGCTGAAGGATTGCAATATTTACCTGGAGCTAACCTTGCAGATAGCATTACTGGGTGATCTGAAAAGTCATAGCCAATCGATCAATAATATAATAATACTTTTAGCAATCTGTAGAAGCAATGAGAATAGAAAGGTTCAGAACTTTTGTAAAACATCACAGTACGGTTGAAATATATATGGCAAATAGAAATCCTATATGGATGGTGTTAAGAGATAGATGGGAGGTATTGAATAGAGTTGAAGGATGGGACTACTAACAAATAACAACAAATAATAACAAAGATAGCTAATAATGTAAGCATACTGTGTCCATAATAAGTATATAGGTTGTATGTTGGGAGCTTTTGGGAAAGAGCACAGTTAGAAAGATATGGCATATAGAAGCAAACCGGATGGACATCATGAAAATGATCGGAGAGGTTGAGAGTAGAAGTAGTTCAGGAGCAAAAAAAATAATAAAAAAAATATATATATAATAGAATTATTGTAAAATTAACTGTGTCCATAAGGTGTAGATAGTAAGTATAGACCGGAAGTAGAGGCCTGGGCATTGTTGTTCACTAATTTACTCCAAGTAGGGAAAGAATGGCGGGGTTGAAAAGTAATAAAGGGGAGTATATATATAAAAAACATGGGGGATTGGAAGTGATGCAGACAATTACATTGATAGAAGATACAATCTATCTGCAATATTAAGCTGATCCATCAAAAAAATTGAAAGAAAAAAAAAGAAAAAAAAAGAAATGAACATTAAATTATCTGGCAACAGCTCTGGTGGACATTCCTGCTGTCAGCATGCCAATTGCACACTCCCTCAAAACTTGAGACATCTGTGGCATTGTGTTGTGTGACAAAACTGCATATTTTAGACTGGCCTTTTATTGTCCCCAGCACAAGATGCACCTGTGTAATGATCATGCTGTTTAATCAGTTTCTTGATATGCCACACCTGTCAGATGGATGGATAACTTGGCAAAGGATAAATGCTCACTAACAGGGATGTAAACAAATTTGTGCACAACATTTGAGAGAAATCAGCTTTTTGTGCATATGGAACATTTCTGGGAACTTTTATTTCAGCTCATGAAACATGGGACCAACACTTTACATGTTGCGTTTATATTTGTGTTCAGTATAGATACATTTGCATCTTTGCTAAACTTCATGTAATGCCTGACAATATTCCAGAAATGCATAGCTATGACATCTAGTCTACAGGGTGGCCAAAGTGGTTCCTAGTTCAGCTTCTTAAATTACTCTTTACGTACTGATCAATGGAGATACTTTTTGGGCCACCAAGCCAAAACTTTGGCAGTGATATAATTTTAATTGTGATGGTGAGTAAAAAAAACTGTTTGATTTCACCTCATTTTAACATTCTGTCATAAAGAGAACAAGTTCAATGTCACACCCTGGTGTTGGGACTCATTATTGTTTATCCAGGGTGTGTGCAGGCTATGTGTTTGTGTTCTATGTTGGGTGTCTAGGTTGTTGTTTTTCTAGGTTTGTTCAATGACTCCCAATCGGAGGTAACGAGTGTCAGCTGTTCGGCTCGTTATCTCTGATTGGGAGCCATATTTATTTCTGTATGTTTTCCTGTGGGGTTGTGGGTTTTTGTTTCCGTTACGGTGAGTGCACCGTGGAACTTCATGATCGTGGTTTATTGTTTTGTCGTGCTTTAACTTAATAAAGTCTACGATGTTCACTCAACACGCTGCGCGTTGGTCTGCTCCTTCACACGATCGTGACAGAAAAACCCACCATAAGAAGACCAAGCAGCGTGTCAAGCGGCAACAGGACCCAGCTCCTAAGGATTCATGGACATGGGAGGAGATTCTGGATGGTAAGGGGCCTTGGGCACAACCGGGAGAATATCGCCGTCCTCGTGAAGAGCTGGAGGCAGCTAAAGCCGAGAGGCGGCGATATGAGGAGGCAGCAAGGAGGCAAGACTGGAAGCCTGTGGGTACTACCCAAGAATTTCTTGGGGGGGGGCTAAGAGGGAGTGTGGCGAAGTCAGGTAGGAGACCTGCGCCTACTCCCTGGACTGACCGTGGAGAGCGAGAGTACGGGCAGACACCGTGTTACGCAGTTGAGCGCATGGTGTTTCCTGTACGCAGGCATAGCCCGGTTCGGTACAGTCCAGCTCCACGTATCGGCCGGGCTAGATTGAGCATTGAGCCGGATGTCATGAAGCCGGCCCCACGCATCAGTCCACCAGTGCGTCTTCTCGGGCCGGCGTACATGGCACCAGCCTTACGCATGGTGTTCCCGGTTCGCCCACATAGGCCGGTGCGGGTTATTCCACCTCCCCGTACTGGTCGGGCGACGGGGAGCATCAAGCCGGGTAAGGTTGGGCAGGCTCAGTGCTCAAGGGGGCCAGTACGCCTGCACGGTCCGGTATTTCCGGCGCCACCTCCCCGCTCCAGCCCAGTACCACCAGTACCTACACCACGCACCAGGTTTCCAGTGCGTCTTCAGAGCCCTGTGTCTCCTCCACGCACTGGCTCTATGGTGCGTGTCTCCAGCCCTTTACCACCAGTGCAGACACCACGCACCAGGCCTACGATGCGCCTCAGACGGCCAGAGTCTGCCGTCTGCCCAACGGGGCCTGAACTGTCCGTCTGCCCAACGCCGTCTGAACTGCCCGTCTGCCCAACGCCGTCTGAAACTGTCCGTCTGCCAAGAGCAGCCAGAGCCTTCCGCCAGACAGGATCAGCCAGAGCCTTCCGCCAGACAGGATCAGCCAGAGCCTTCCGCCAGACAGGATCAGCCAGAGCCTTCCGCCAGACAGGGATCCGCCAGAGCCGTCCAGCCGGGATCCGCCAGAGCCGTCCATCCGCCACGGGATCCGCCAGAGCCGTCCAGCCGGGATCCGCCAGAGCCGTCCAGCCGGGATCCGCCAGCCGCCAGCCGGATCCCCAGCCGTCCACCGGGATCCGCCAGAGCCGTCCAGCCGGGATCCGCCAGAGCCGTCCAGCCGGGATCCGCCAGAGCCTCCACCGGGATCCCCAGCCCCAGGATTCGCCATTCAGCCTGGTACTGCCCCTTAGTCCGGTACTGCCCCTTAGTCCGGTACTGCCCCTTAGTCCGGTACTGCCCCTTAGTCAGGTGCTGCCCCTTAAACCGGTGGGGGTCATTTGGAGGAGGCTACATAAGCGGGAAGTGACTATGGTGGGGTGGTGGTCTAGGCCGGAGCCAGAACCACCACCGTGGACAGACGCCCACCCAGACCCTCCCCGAGACTGTATGCTGGTGCGCCCGGAGTGCGCGCCTTTAGGGGGGGGGTACTGTCACACCCTGGTGTTGGGACTCATTATTGTTTATCCAGGGTGTGTGCAGGCTATGTGTTTGTGTTCTATGTTGGGTGTCTAGGTTGTTGTTTTTCTAGGTTTGTTCAATGACTCCCAATCGGAGGTAACGAGTGTCAGCTGTTCGGCTCGTTATCTCTGATTGGGAGCCATATTTATTTCTGTATGTTTTCCTGTGGGGTTGTGGGTTTTTGTTTCCGTTACGGTGAGTGCACCGTGGAACTTCATGATCGTGGTTTATTGTTTTGTCGTGCTTTAACTTAATAAAGTCTACGATGTTCACTCAACACGCTGCGCGTTGGTCTGCTCCTTCACACGATCGTGACATTCAACTTCATAGAAAACATGTTTTCCATCTCAAGAGGGGAAAAAAAGACTAAGTGTCTCTCTACAGCTTAATGAAATGATGAAAATAATCTAGTGCTCAAGATCAGGCACTAGGCTGTTTTTTAAAATGATTTTATTTGTGTTTTTATCGATTTAACCCCAAAACAATACATTCTACAACGCTCCACAATATATCAACGTGTAGGTCTAGGTCTTGTGCTGCCAGTGAGGGGTATTATACAGTGGATGTTTCTTTTGAAATAAATCTTTAAAAAGGAATAGTTTTACCATATTAAAACAAGAGTTCAGTTCACATAACAGGATTGACCTTAAAATGAGGGACAGACGTAAATGGATCACTAATCACATGAAATAAATAATAATATTCAGGAATAACTTAGTCAAAGCAACAAAATAACTAGGGCTTTACAATGATGGTGAAAACTTAGAGTATTTTGGGGGGTTATTGGGTTAAAATCTTCCTAGAAGTCAAAGAGGGTGCACGGAAGGACATGGTAAAATGCTGAATTTTGGCACTTTAGCAAGTCTTTATTAATATTGAAAATCAGATTTATTGAATTCTCCACGTGGTCTATATTACAGTTTTTTCCAACTGCTTACACACAATCTTTTCATGTCACACGATTTTTGAAACCTCTCACTCAAAGTGCAAAACTACACACCAAATCTCCAAAACCATAAGCTATTTCTCAGCCTTTGACTCAGTTGTCAATTGCATAAAACACTTTTTTCAAAACACTACACACAATTCTCTACCTAAAACACAAAAATCTAACAGGAAGTGACTTGCTTTCCTTTTCCAAACACAACCAATCAAAATGCTACACTTATTCACCAGGTCAAACACACTCTCCTCGAATGTTCAAACACTAATTGCTTTACTGATCACTAACCAATCACTGCTTTACTGTAGTATAGGACTGTTTTGAACAATGGATGCCAACAATGGACAGAGAGCAAGAGGAGTAGGAGGGAGAGGCAGGGGACAACAACGAGGACAAATTCAAAGATGAAGAGTTGAAGGAGGAGGAGGAGGAGGAAGAGGAAGAGGACGAGGGCAAAGAAGAGAAGGAAGGAGAGCCATCTCTGATGAGATTAGGGCAACACTTGTTGATCATGTGATCAACCACGGTTTGACCATGAGAGAGGCTGGACTGAGAGTCCAGCCCAACTTGAGTCGATTTACAGTGGCGTCCATAATTCGAACCTTCAGAAATGAGAACAGGTATGCAACTATCTAATGACTATTTTAGCATTAGAGTAATGTACTGTAAAATACGTATGACTGCATAGTATTGCATAAACATTTGTAACTCTAAGCCATCCATTTACTGCACTGCATTGAATGAATGAGGTTGGTTATCATGCTGTACTACATTTTTGTGTACATTGTTTACAGTTCCTATGCTGAACACATACTGTGTTTGAATTCTGTACAGAGTGGAAAGGCAAAGACATCATGGAGGACGAGGACGTTTGTTTACAGATGTACAAGAGACTGCAATTATAAATATGGTTTTGGCCAACAATGCAATTAGGATTTGAGAGATAAGAGAGCATATCTTGAATAATGACACCATATTTACAGTTTTTTTGGATTGCTTACACACTAAAATTAAAAGTAGTACACTATTAGCAAAACCTTACACTCAAGAAGCAAAACATCAGCCCATATTTGCACAACTATAAGCACATTGTCAACCTTACACTTGTTGCAAAACTCTACACACAGTGATTTGCAAAACACTAAACACACTTAACATACATTACACACAAAAATCTATCATGAAGTCACGTCCTTGCAATACCAAAGCACTGACTGTCAAATTACCACACCGTCCAACCAATTGGTTCAACACAGTCATCAGGTGTGCAAACACTCGTTTGCTTAATTGTAGACACACCAATCAGGTGTATAAGCACTATAAAAAGTAGCAGGTGAGTTCATCGGTCTTCAAGCACAATGGAAAGAGTCAGAGAAAGAGTAAGACGAGGAGGAGGAGGAGGAGGAGGACGACGAGGAGAACGAGGAGGAGGACGAGGAGAACGAGGAGGACGAGGAGGACGAGGAGGACGAGGAGGACGAGGAGAACGAGGAGGAGGACGAGGAGAACGAGGAGAACGAGGAGGACGAGGAGGACGAGGAGAACGAGGAGGACGACGAGGAGAACGAGGAGGAGGAGGAGGAGGAGGAAGGGGAGGAGAACGAGGAGGAGGAGGAGGAGGAGGAAGGGGAGGAAGAGGAAGAGGAAGAGGAAGAGGAAGACAAGAAGGTGCTCAAAGAGGACCGAATCTGACAAATGAGATCCGCGCAACACTGGTTGACCACATTGTCAACCACGGCCTGACGCTGAGGGAGGCTGGACTGCGAGTACAGCCAAATCTAAGCCGATATACAGTGGCAAGTGTGATGAGAACATTTCGACTGGAAAATAGGTATTGTAAAAATATCATCATATCAAAAACATCTGCACGGTTTCAGTAACTGCTTACAGTACTATATTCTATGCACTATCAGCACTTCTGTTACCTTTTCCTGTGAAATTACTGTACTATTGTATACTGTTTTTTTTTCTACATAGGATTGAGGGTCAGGGACGACAAGGGGGAAGGCCTCCTATGTTCACAGAACAGCAAGAGAGGGAGATAGTAAACATGGTTTTGGCCAACAATGCTATAACACTCAAGCAGCTCCAAGCTAACATTGTCAATAACCACGCCATTTTCAACGATATCCATCAGGTCTCAACATCAACACTGGCACGCATCCTAAAAAAAAAACATATTCAAATGAAGCAAATTTATCGAGTGCCTTTCGAGCGCAATTCCGAAAGGGTGAAACGACTGCGGCATGATTATGCAGAGGTATGTATTCACTTTAGCAGTGTGATCTTGCATACTGTCTCATAATCTTTTACTGTACTGTAATATGTATACTAGATCTACACTGAACTACACAATTTTGCCTGACACTGTTTTTCAGAGAGTTTTACGAATGGATGGAGAGGAGATCCAGCATGAGTTCATTTACGTAGATGAGGCTGGGTTCAACCTGACGAGAACACGAAGGAGGGGAAGAAACATCATTGGCCACAGGGCTATAGTCAATGTCCCAGGGCAACGTGGGGGTAATATAACACTCTGTGCAGCCATTACACAGAATGGGGTCCTCCACCGCCATGCCCATATGGGCCCTTACAACACAGCACTCATACTTACATTCTTGGACCAATTGCACAACATAACAGCAGCAAATCAAATCGATCATATGCAATACATTGTTGTCTGGGACAATGTGTCTTTCCACCGCTCTGCTCTGGTTCAGAACTGGTTTCAGCAACATCCACATTTCACCGTCCTATATCTTCCACCATACTCTCCATTCCTCAACCCTATAAAATAGTTTTTCTCGGCATGGCGGTGGAAGGTATATGATCTCCGTCTCCAGGCTGAGGTACCCCTCATCCAAGCCATGGAGGAGGCCTGTGACCAGATGGAGGTAGCAGCAATGCAAGGATGGATTCGTCATTCAAGACGTTTCTTTCCAAGGTGTCTTGCTAATGACAACATTGCCTGCGATGTTGATGAAATTCTCTGGCCAGATCCAGCTAGGCGAAGAGACAATGTCTAGTTATTTTTTTAAATCTTTTTTGAACTTACAATACGTAAAGTGACGTTTGGTTACAGTATTATGAATCTCCATGTCAACATTTTGGGCGTGTTGAGAAATAAATGAGTTTCTTCAGTCTGCAACATTGGTCTTGTGTAGTGTTTGGTGAATTTACATTATATTTGTACTTTGTTGAGAGTAGCCTACTCTAATCATAGGGAAGTAGAAGTGCTAAAAGTGTTTTAGGTTTATCACAGCAGAGTGTAACTCGTGCAAACAGAGTATAGTAATGTGAAACGTGTGTGTTTCATATGGTAACAAAGTGTGGTTTTTAAAAAGAAGTGTATAGTTTTTACAAGAGTGTTTAATTTTGCAAAGGATCTGTAGTGTTTTGCTAATTGGGTGTGTGGTTGTGCTAATTGTGTGTAGTGTTTTGAAAACACGGGCCCTGTTTTGAAAATCGTGCTTAAGCAATCAAAAAAAACTGTAAAGGGCACTTCATTTAATATAACAGGCTTTTAAAATAAATGTGTGCCTAATTTCTACTTAACGCAAAAGGCACTCAATTCGTGGAACGACCCAGTACACATTAAGTTCTGCCGTTGGACATTGGTTACAATGTTCTCCTCAAGTTCGTTTGTTTATTTTGCATGGAGTCACTCACTACATGACCGATAATGTATCATGTTTGTAGTCATTTGTGTAGTCATTTAAATGTATTTAAATGCATGTTAGCGCTTTTGGTATGTGTCAAGTACAAATAAAAATGCATTTTGACCAAATATATTGTAGCGGCGGCAGCCTATTAGAATACTTGGAGGCGTGGCTTGTTTGTGGCGTGGCCTCCCATGAGCTGGATTGTCACGCCAGTTAATCAGTTATGTTGTGTTCTATGGTTAAAGTTTAAGGTTGTACACTGCCAGTTCTGGTTCTGTAGTCTTAAAGAGCCTATTAAAGTCTCATTATTAATACAGTCACTGTTTTGTTACAATATGATATGGCCAGTTTTTTGTATTTGCCATACATTTTACTTACATGTGAAAATATATTCTAAAATACGTTCCTTAATGTATTTCAGAATGTCTTTTGAAAAGCATTTTCTGATTCATTTAACATATATTGTGAGATACATTTTACATAAATGTATATATACAGTTGAAGTCGGAAGTTTACATACACTTAGGTTGGAGTCATTAAAACTAGTTTTTCAACCACTCCACAAATTTCTTGTTAACAAACTATAGTTTTGGCAATTGGTTAGGACATCTACTTTGTGCATGACACAAGTAATCTTTCCAACAATTGTTTACAGACAGATTATTTAATTTATAATTCACTGTATCACAATTCCAGTGGATCAGAAGTTTATATACACTAAGTTGACTGTGCCTTTAAACAGCTTGGAAAATTCCATAAAATTATGTCATGGCTTTAGAAGCTTCTGATAGGCTAATTGACATCATTTTAGTCAATTGGAGGTGTACCTGTGGATGTATTTCAAGGCCTACTTTCAAACTCAGTGCCTCTTTGCTTGACATCATGGGAAAATCAAAAGAAATCAGCCAAGACCTCATAAAAATAATTGTAGACCTCCACAAGTCTGGTTCATCCTTGGGAGCAATTTCCAAATGCCTGAAGGTACCACATTCATCTGTACAAACAATAGTACACAAGTATAAACACCATGGGACCACGCAGCCGTCATACCGCTCAGGAAGGAGACGCGTTCTGTCTCCTAGAGATGAATGTAATCCTTCTACCCCCCCTTACCCCACCCCAAAAAACAAAAAACAAAAAAACATATTGTAAAGTGGTTATCCCACTGGCTATAAGGTGAATGCACCAATTTGTAAGTCGCTCTGGATAAGAGCGTCTGCTAAATGACGTAAATGTAATGTACTTTGGTGCGAAAAGTGCAAATCAATCCCAGAACAACAGCAAAGGACCTTGTGAAGATGCTGGAGGAAACAGGTACAAAAGTATCTATATCCACAGTAAAACGAGTCCTATATCGACATAACCTGAAAGGCCGCTCAGCTAGGAAGAAGCCACAGCTCCAAAACCACCATAAAAAAGCCAGACTACGGTTTGCAACTGCACATGGGGACAAAGATCGTACTTTTAGGAAAAATGTCCTCTGGTCTGATGAAACAAAAATATAACTGTTTGACCATAATGACCATCGTTATGTTTGGAGGAAAAAGGGGAATGCTTGCAAGCCGAAGAACACCATCCCAACCGTGAAGCACGGGGGTGGCAGCATCATGCTGTGGGGGTGCTTTGCTGCAGGAGGGACTGGTGCACTTCACAAATAGATGGCATCATGAGGAAGGAAAATTATGTGGATATATTGAAGCGACATCTCAAGACATCAGTCAGGAAGTTAAAGCTTGGTCGCAAATGGGTCTTCCAAATGGACAATGACCCCAAGCATACTTCCAAAGTTGTGGCAAAATGGCTTAAGGACAACAAAGTCAAGGTATTGGAGAGGGCATCACAAAGCCCTGACCTCAATCCTATAGAAAATGTGTGGGCAGAACTGAAAAAGCGTGTGCGAGCAAGGAGGCCTACAAACCTGACTCAGTTACACCAGCTCTGTCAGGACGAATGGGCCAAAATTCACCCAACTTATTGTGGGAAGCTTGTGGAAGGCTACCCGAAACGTCTGACCCAAGTTAAACAATTTAAAGGCAATGCTACCAAATACTAATTGAGTGTATGTAAACTTCTGACCCACTGGGAATGTAATTAAATAAATAAAGCTGAAATAAATCATTCTCTCTACTATTATTATGACATTTCACATTCTTAAAATAAAGTGGTGATCCTAACTGACCTAAGACAGGGAATTTTTATTAGGATTAAATGTCAGGAATTGTGAAAAACTGAACTTAAATGTATTTGGCTAAGGTGTATGTAAACTTCCGACTTCAACTGTACATTCCTTAATACAGTGGCTTGCGAAAGTATTCACCCCCCTTGGGATTTTTCCTACATTGTTGCCTTTCAACCTGGAATTAAAATGGATTTTTGGGGGGTTTGTATCATTTGATTTACACAACATGCCTACCCATTTGAAGATGCAAAATATTTTTTATTGTGAAATAAACAAGAAATAAGACAAAAAAACAGAAAACTTGAGCGTGCATAACTATTCATCCCTCCAAAGTCAATACTTTGTAGAGACACCTTTTGCAGCAATTACAGCTGAAAGTCTCCCGGGGTATTTCTCTATAAGCTTGGCACATCTAGCCACTGGGATTTTTGCCCATTCTTCAAGGCAAAAATGCTCCAGCTCCTTCAAGTTGGATGGGTTCCGCTGGTGTACAGCAATCTTTAAGTCATACCACAGATTCTCAATTGGATTGAGGTCTGGGCTTTGACTAGGCCATTCCAAGACATTTAAATGTTTACCCTTAAACATTTTACATTTTAGTCATTTAGCAGACGCTCTTATCCAGAGCGACCTACAGTTAGTGAGTGCATACATTTTCATACATTTTCCTATTTTCAACCACTCGAGTGTTGCTTTAGCAGTATGCTTAGGGTCATTCTCCTGCTGGAAGGTGAACCTCCGTCCCAGTCTCAAATCTCTGGAAGACTGAAACAGGTTTACCTCAAGAATTTCCCTGTATTTAGCACCATCCATCATTCCTTCAATTCTGACCAGTTTCCTAGTCCCTGCCGATGAAAAACATCCCCACAGCATGATGCTGCCACCACCATGCTTCACTGTGGGGATGGTGTTCTTGGGGTGATGAGGTGTTGGGTTTGCACCAGACATAGCGTTTTCCTTGATGGCCAAAAAGCTCAATTTTAGTCTCATCTGACCAGAGTACCTTCCTCCATATGTTTGGGAAGTCTCCCACATGCCTTTTGGTGAACACCAAACGTGTTTGCTTATTTTTTTCTTTAAGCAATGGCTTTTTTCTGGCCACTCTTCTGTATAGCCCAGCTCTGTGGAGTGTACGGCTTAAAGTGGTCCTATGGACAGATACTCCAATCTCCGCTGTGGATCTTTGCAGCTCCTTCAGGGTTTTCTTTGGTCTCTTTGTTGCCTCTCTGATTAATGCCCTCCTTGTCTGGTCCTTGAGTTTTGGTGGGCGGCCCTCTCTTGGCAGGTTTGTTGTGGTGCCATATTCTTTCCATTTTCTAATAATGGATTTAATGGTGCTCCGTGGGATGTTCAAAGTTTCAGATATTTTTTTATAACCCAACCCTGATCTGTACTTCTCCACAACTTTGTCCCTGACCTGTTTGGAGATCTCCTTGGTCTTCATGGTGCCGCTTGCTTGGTGGTGCCCCTTGCTTAGGGGTGTTGCAGACTCTGGGGCTTTTCAGAACAGGTGTATATATACATGTGACAGATCATGTGACACTTAGATTGCACACAGGTGGACTTTATTTAACTAATTATGTGACTTCTGAAGGTAATCGGTTGCACCAGATCTTATTTAGGGGCTTCATAGCAAAGGGGGTGAATACATATCCATGCACCACTTTTCCGTTATTAATTTTTTTGAATTTTTTGAAACAAGTTATTTTTTTCATTTCACTTCACCAATTTGGACTATTTTGTGTAAGTCCATTACATGAAAACCAAATAAAAATCCATTTAAATTACAGGTTGTAATGCAACAAAATAGGAAAAACGCCAAGGGGGATGAATACCTTTGCAAGGCACTCTATATTTTGGAATGCATTTAAAATGTATTAAATAAAAATACATTATCTGGCCAATTTTTAATATTTCACATGTATCCAAAAGAAAGTCTCTAAAAATACATTTTTCCATATGGCTGGTTAGAATAATGATCATTATATTACAGATCTGCCCCTGTTTAGAGAAATTATCATAAGATTACAGATCCGCCCCTTTTTAGAAGAATGATCATAGCATTACAGATCTATACCTGGTTCAAGGGAAATGACTATGGCTTGTATCTTGAATTTAAAGACTTGGACATAACTTTTATAACTTATGTACCATCCTGTCATACCCTGCCAACCTTGAAACCTGAAAATATTGCCAATGTTTGTCATGGTAGATGTGTACCTGTTTATGGATGAGTCCTCGCAGGCGTTCACACGTCTCCTCATCACTGATACTGCCCACGGACGACAGCTTAGCCAGGTACCTGACAGAGACACAGAGGGGGGGGGGTTAATATCAAATATGCAATTAGACAGATAACAACACAATGACCCCTCCAATAATGTTGATGAGATGAAAGTGACAGACACAGATGCCTCAGTATGGGCTCGGTGCGGGTTTAGTTCTACAGCCTAATAGTGAGAAGTTTGGCAGTGAGAGTTGGGCTCCCATGACGTTGTGGGAACGTTTTGGTCATCATGTTGAGAAGAAGGAAAGAGTTTTATCATCTAAACCACCTCCAGGACACACAGGTCACTCCTCACCCCATCAGTCACATATCTCTTTGGCTAAAAGCACCTTACAGAAATAGGCCCATCTCATACGCTCATCACAGACATACTCTACACCAGAACTTCCCATGGAGGGGCTGTCTGGGTCTTGTCTGTGGCCCTCCCTCACCTCTCTCTCCTTCCCTCTCTCCCTTCCTTCCTCTCTCTCTTAATCTGTCCCTCACCTCCCTCTCCTCCCTCCCTCTCTCTCTGTCCTTCTCTCTCTCTCTCTCTCTCTCTCTCTCTCTCTCTCTCTCTCTCAATTAAATTTTCAATTTAAGGGCTTTATTGGCATGGGAAACATATGTTAACATTGCCAAAGCAGGTGAAGTAGATAGTAAACATTACACTCAGAAGTTCCAAAAGAATAAAGACATTTCAAATGTCATATTATGTATATATACAGTGTTGTAACAATGTGCAAATAGTTAAAGTACAAATGGGAAAATAAATAAACATAAATATGGGTTGTATTTACAATGGTGTTTGTTCTTCACTGGTTGCCCTTTTCTTGTGGCAACAGGTCACAAATATTGCTGCTGTGATGGCACACTGTGGTATTTCACCCAGTAGATAAGGGAGTTTATCAAAATTGGGTTTGTTTTCGAATTCTTTGTGGATCTCTGTAATCTGAGGGAATATGTGTCTCTAATATGGTCATACATTTGGCAGGAGGTTAGGAAGTGCAGCTCAGTTTCCACCTCATTTTGTGGGCAGTGTGCACATAGCCTGTCTTCTCTTGAGAGCCAGGTCTGCCTACGGCGGCCTTTCTCAATAGCAAGGCTATGCTCACTGAGTCTGTACAGTCAAAGCTTTCCTTAAGTTTGGGTCAGTCACAGTGGTCAGTTATTCTGCCACTGTGTACTCTCTGTTTAGAGCCAAATAGCATTCTAGTTTGCTGTGTTTTTTTGTTAATTCTTTCCAATGTGTCAAGTAATTCTCTTTTTGTTTTCTCATGATTTGGTTGGGTCTAATTGTGTTGTTGTTGTTGTTGTCCTGGGGCTCTGTGGGGTCTGTTTATGTTTGTGAACAGAGCCCCAGGACCAGCTTACATTGACATTTTAATCATTTAGCAGATGCTCTTATCCAGAGCGACTTACAGGAGCAATTAGGGTTAAGTGCCTTGCTCAAGGGCACATCGACAGATTTTTCACCTAGTCGGCTCGGGGATTAGAACCAGCGACCTTTCGCTCTTACTTAGGGGACTTCTCAAAGTGAATCTCTCTGTAGGTGATGGCTTTGTTATGAAAGGTTTGGGAATCGCTTTCTTTTAAGTGGTTATAGAATTTAACGGCTCTTTTCTGGATTTTGATCATTAGCGGGTATCGGCATAATTCTGCTCTGCATGCATTATTTGGGGTTTTTCGTTGTACACGGAGGATATTTTTGCAGAATTCTCAATTTGGTGTTTGTCCCATTTTGTGAATTCTTGGTTGGTGAGCGGACCCCAGACCCCACAACCATAAAGGGCAATGGGTTCTATAACTGATTCAAGTATTTTTAGCCAGATCCTAATTGGTATGTCAAATTGTATGTTCCTTTTGATCTCTCTCTCTCTCTCTCTCTCTCTCTCTCTCTCTCTCTCTCTCTCTCTCTCTCTTTCACAGGCACCTCCTCTCCTCCATGCAGATAACCCCCAATATCCCTTTCTCTCTCAATCTCAGTCTCTCTCTTTCTCTCTCACGGTCATCTCCTCTCCACTCAACGGTCAGATAAACTTGACCGTGACCACTCGACCTCATCCTCCCCCCGACAGTCTTGTCTATACAGCAGGGGGACTTCACTATCAGACCACTGCTGCCGTTCTCCCTCAGTCTGTCTGAATGCTTGTCTGACAACAACAATCAATCACTTTTTATTAATGAAATGGTACAGGCTCAGTTCATAACCAACTGTCTTCACCAACAGAGAAGATGGTAAATGCTAAACAAATGTCTCAACATATACTGTATAATCTGAACATATACTGTATAATCTGAACATATACTGTATAATCTGAACATATACTGTATAATCTTGCTTCTCTTTTCTGTTCTTTCACGCACCTCAAAATAATGGATGCATTATTCTCTTTCTTTTAAATTTTCAGTTAACCCTCCCATTGTCCTAGGGTCAAAATGACCCGCCACTGTGTTGAACCAACTTTATTTAATTTTTATATTTTTGGGATCATTTGTGAGAAGGAGGCAGTGAGACTTTAAAGAAAGTATCACTGCCTCCTTCTCACAAATGATCAAAAAAATATAAAAATTAAATAAAGTTGGTTCAACACAGTGGCGGGTCATTTTGACCCTAGGACAACGGGAGGGTTAATAATTATCCTTCCTCAATTTGTACATACCCATCTTCCCCTCAATAAAATACATTGAAGTTCAAATACAGCTATACAAGAAAAAGACCTACAACCTTGAGCTGTGTGCTCTGTCTGTTTGGGTACACAGTCTCCACACATCCAGCTGTGATACTCAGTGTGATAAAGTCACCTTGAGACTATCAGGCCTCTTCTGAACACTGGAGAACCACTGTCTGTCTGCACTGCAGCTGGTGAGGCTCAGCATCTCTCCTATCACATAAACCTGTCCCCCTCAGCATTCAATACCCCTGCACACACACAGGCACGCACACACATGCACGCAGACACACACATGCACGCACACACACACATGCACGCATGGACACGCACACACACACTAACACACACACAGAGATGAAAGTACTCATAAAGCACCAGTTGCTGTTGCTGGCATGCCACTGGCCCAGCCCTGACCCTGGAAACATTTAATAAACATTGGAGAAAGCACATGGGAAGGACAGATAAGCTCTACGCAGGTGTGGCTCTGTCTATGTGTTTGTGAGACGCTACCGCATGGGAAAAGACTAGCCCAGACATTTGGGGAGTGTGTGTTGGTGTGTGTTAGTGTGTGTGTGTGTGTGTGTGTGTGTGTGTGTATTCAGTCCTTCCATCTTTATCTCTTTATTTGGCTGTGTACCCTCTGTTTCCACTCGTTCCCCTTGCTCTCATTCTTCTTCCTCTCTCTCCCCCACACTCACACCATCTCTCTCTCTCCCCCTCTTTCTCTCTCACTCTCTCTCACTCTCTATCTCTCTCTCTCTCTCTCTCTGTCTCTCTCTGTCTCTCTCTCTCTCTCTCTCTCTCTCTCTCCTTCTCTACCTCCACTAATTTCTTTATTTCATGTATTTTAAATTCCCAATATTTATTGCTCTCCCTCCTGTGCTAATTCTCTCTCTCTTACCCCCTCTCTCTTACCCCCTCTCTCACGCTCTCTCTCTCTCTGAGAGGTATAGTCAGAGGGTTCATGGGTGCATTCCACCTGGCTACTGTGTGTTTGTGTTGCATTGCGCATCGCAGCCCTTACAACACTGCTGGCTCCAACAGGCTTAGCCCAACGCAACTTATCATGCAACCACTCCACTACAGCCCTACCGCAGAAACAGAAACAGAGACAGACATTAACCACTGCAGTTCTACATTGAGAGAGAGAGAGAGAGAGAGAGAGAGAGAGAGAGAGAGAGAGAGAGAGAGAGAGAGAGAGAGAGAGAGAGAGAGAGAGATAGAGAGAGAGAGAGAGAGAGAGAGAGAGAGAGAGAGAGAGAGAGAGAGAGAGAGAGAGAAAAAGAGAGAAAGAGAGGTTATCTGGTCTGTAGAGGAAGGGTGGTGAGGGTGAAGTGGAGACTGAGAGATAGATAGGAGAGAGAAAGCCCCCCTGGCTAAACAAGTCTGATGCTCTAAAGATGCCACGCTGTACACCATATCTGAGGTAGATAGGTCTGTATCTGAGCTCTGGCTGTATCAACTACCCCTTCCTCTGAGGACAGATCAAACCCCAGATGTATCTCTACTTACACAGAGGAGGACGTCACAGAGACCAGCCCTCACACACTCTTACAGACACCTCTCTCTGTCTCTGTTTCTCCCAGGGTATTTATATCAGTTGATTAAACTTGCACTGCTTACCTTTCCTCTGCTGAGTACACAGGAGAGGTAAACAGGTGGAGGTATATATAGGAGCTTAGGGAGCTCCTCACAGAAATTAATACATAGTAACAGATGCTGTTTATCTGTGTTCACTGCAATATTCAGCTATAGTTTTATCCTATAGTAACTTATCATTGCTTCACGGTGCATGTAATGTAAGTAAAATGTTTTTTTTCTGACCACACAGCTAGTGGAGGACAAAGTTTAGCCAGCCAACAGGACAACCACAGACATTCCGGAAGCATGATTGGGAAAGTAAGTGGAAAGGTTTGTGGCAAGGCACGCGCACATACTCAAACACACACAAACAGCAGTGAGGGGTCTGTAGAGATTACCAGTCCCAGATTGCAATCTTTGGATTCCTGCATGATGTGGTATGCCCCAGCACATTGATGAACCCCTCACCTAGATATATGGCCATATAAAATAGAGCAAATCATTAGTACCTACGGTGCTGCACCATGGCTGGCTACCAACCTCTGTGTGTGTGTGTGTGTGTGTGTGTTTTTCGTGGGTTGAGTTAATATGCATTTCCATGATCGGAAAAGAAAACGGACAATAAATGATTATTCTTGTCTAGAGAAACTCCAAGCCCCATGTATATACCAGCAGCATGGATGACTCTGTACCACCACTTTCTGAGCTAGTATGATATGATGACCTTGGATAACCTCTGCTGGACTGGAGTCAGATCAGCAAACACAGCTGCAGTACCCAGTTTGGCCTGCAGAGGGCAGCCTGATCTCAGTCTCCTCTCAGGAGTCTCCCCTGAGGCACAGCCCAAGGCCCAGACCATCAACAGCCAGACAGAAAAAGTTGATCCTTTCAGGTTTCAAGCAAGAAGCTTAGGCTGCTCTTAGACATAGACAACATCACATAATTTCATGGCAGCCATGTTAGTGCCTTCCAGGCAATGTTCTTAAAGGACTCTGACAAAAACAAACTCACGGTCTGCACTCGAAAGCAAATGTGTTACATCAGAAAACTATGTCAACATTTTACAGAAAGGGGCAAAGATACATTTGACAAGCAGTAATTTAGAGCCTGATTGTCAGTAGAGAAAATGGGTGCGTCTCAATAGTGTGTGTTTCTTTCTCCTAATCTCCTTTCTTCCATTTGCAGTGAAATTAAAGAACTGGTTCTGGTTGGCTTCTTTCATGTTGGTTTCACTTTTCTTTTGTTATCAGATCAGTGTAAATTTAGACTATTGAGATGTACTCCATAGGAGTCTATGGGAATCTGTGCAGCTGTTGTGGCTACAGTATATTACAATACTGTACAAATTAAATATACAGCAAGGACATATTTCAAGAGTAATTGAAATTACCATGATAACAATCTCAGCAATATGATGCAGATGAGGAGGAAAATGTAAAGGAAATGAAAGAGGAGGAGGAGAAGGAGATAGGAGTGTGATGCTGTTTACCGTTTACTTTTTTGCAGCTATATATTCATTTTGAAGGGGGATTGCCCATTCTTGCTTTGACTATTTATCTTGAACTGTTCTTGGATTGGATTGTGACTTCCTTATTAACATTGGACATTGAGACTTTGGTTAGGATTATATATGAACTTTATTGTTTATTTTGATTGAAATCTAATTGGTTACAATTTACTAATCTTTGCTCACGTCATATTAATGTGTCTGCTTTGCTTATGTTGCTCTCATATTGACACAGTATTTCTTTGAACTTTAAAATGGTAACTTAGTTTGTGATCCAAGCTGATTGTTGCTGGAGAAGTGTATAAAGAATATGGAAAGGGAAGAGGAAGACAAGGTGGATGAGGAGGTTAGTAGAGGGAGGAGAGGAGAAAGAGGGGGGGAGGGAGAGAAAAGAGGGAGAGGAGATAGTTGGATAGATGCAAAGGAGACGGGCTGAGCTGAGGAGAGGAGATAAGGAGGAGGAAAAGAAGAGAGGCGAGAGGAGGTGGAGGAATGAGGAGTGAGACAGAGGAGGAGAGAGAGGAAAGAGGAAGTTCTTCCAGTCAGAACATAAACTGTCTCAGCCCAGTAGTCGGGTCAAACCAACAAACAGCAACACTCACTCAGACTGACCCTACAAGTGAACTCTAACCCTAACACCTGAACCCTGGCCTTCACTCTCAGCTGCTGATGTTTGTATACACAGTCTGACTCAAGCTAAACCCAGACCCCATTATGGCCCCTGTAGAGCAGGGAAATTGTGTACAGTGGGGTCCGGAATTATTGACACCCTTGATATAGATGAGCAAAAATGACTGTATCAAATAAATAATTCAAATACTGAGGTATATTACGTGGGGGAAAAATGGGGAAATGATATTATTTTATACTAATACAATTGCTCAGAGAAATATACACTGCTCAAAAAAATAAAGGGAACACTTAAACAACACAATGTAACTCCAAGTCAATCACACTTCTGTGAAATCAAACTGTCCACTTAGGAAGCAACACTGATTGACAATACATTTCACATGCTGTTGTGCAAATGGAATAGACAACAGGTGGAAATTATAGGCAATTAGCAAGACACCCTCAATAAAGGACAGGTTTTGCAGGTGGTGACCACAGACACTTCTCAGTTCCTATGCTTCCTGGCTGATGTTTTAGTCACTTTTGAATGCTGGCGGTGCTTTCACTCTAGTGGTAGCATGAGACGGAGTCTACAACCCACACAAGTGGCTCAGGTAGTGCAGCACATCCAGGATGGCACATCAATGCGAGCTGTGGCAAGAAGGTTTGCTGTGTCTGTCAGCGTAGTGTCCAGAGCATGGAGGCGCTACCAGGAGACAGGCCAGTACATCAGGAGACGTGGAGGAGGCTGTAGGAGGGCAACAACCCAGCAGCAGGACCGCTACCTCCGCCTTTGTGCAAGGAGGAGCAGGAGGAGCACTGCCAGAGCCCTGCAAAATGATCTCCAGCAGGCCACAAATGTGCATGTGTCTGCTCAAACGGTCAGAAACAGACTCCATGAGGGTGGTAAGAGGGCCCGACGTCCACAGGTGGGGGTTGTGCTTACAGCCCAACACCGTGCAGGACGTTTGGCATTTGCCAGAGAACACCAACATTGGCAAATTCGCCACTGGCGCCCTGTGCTCTTCACAGATGAAAGCAGGTTCACACTGAGCACATGTGACAGACGTGACAGAGTCTGGAGATGCCGTGGAGAATGTTCTGCTGCCTGCAACATCCTCCAGCATGACCGGTTTGGCGGTGGGTCAGTCATGGTGTGGGGTGGCATTTCTTTGGGGGGCTGCACAGCACTCCATGTGCTCGCCAGAGGTAGCCTGACTGCCATTAGGTACCGAGATGAGATCCTCAGACCCCTTGTGAGACCATATGCTGGTGCGGTTGGCCCTTGGTTCCTCCTAATGCAAGACAATGCTAGACCTCATGTGGCTGGAGTGTGTCAGCTGTTCCTGCAAGAGGAAGGCATTGATGCACATCTGGGACATCATGTCTCGCTCCATCCACCAACGCCACGTTGCACCACAGACTGTCCAGGAGTTGGCGGATGCTTTAGTCCAGGTCTGGGAGGAGATCCCTCAGGAGACCATCCGCCACCTCATCAGGAGCATGCCCAGGCGTTGTAGGGAGGTCATACGGGCACGTGGAGGCCACACACACTACTGAGCCTCATTTTGACTTGTTTTAAGGACATTACATTAAAGTTGGATCAGCCTGTTGTGTGGTTTTCCACATTAATTTTGAGGGTGACTCCAAATCCAGACCTCCATGGGTTGATAAATTTGATTTCCATTGATAATTTTTGTGTGATTTTGTTGTCAGCACATTCAACTATGTAAAGAAAAAAGTATTTAATAAGATTATTTCATTCATTCAGATCTAGGATGTGTTATTTTAGTGTTCCCTTAATTTTTTTAGCAGTGTATTTTGTTTAACAACTAATAACTTATTTTCTCTAATTATTGACACTCCTTTTTCAGGACATTTTAATAGCTCATCTTGCGAGGATAACGGCACTGAGCCGTTTTCTAAAATGTTTTATGAATTGGGCAACACATTGGGAGGGATCTTAGACCATTCCTCCATACAGAATCCTTCCAGATCCTTGATATCCTTAACGGGTTTCGAGTCTGGAGACTGAGACGGTCATTGCAAAATGTTGATTTTGTGGCGAATTAACCATTTCTTTGTGGATTTTGATGTGTGCTTGGGTTATTGTCTTGCAGTGTCCTGGCAGAGGCATGCTCTGACCAGCTGGCAAGTGTCTTTACTGACATCTTCAACCTCTCTCTGACCCAGTCTGTAATACCTACATGTTTCAAGCAAACCACAATAGTCCCTGTGTCCAAGAATGCCAAGGTAACCTGTCTAAATGACTACCGCCCCGTAGCACTTACATCTGTAGCCATGAAGTGTTTTGAAAGGTTTGTAATGGTTGACATCAACACCATCATTACATAAACCCTAGACCAACTCCAATTTGCATACCGCCCCAAAAGGAACACCTACGTGAGAATGCTGTTCATTGACTACTGCTCAGTGTTCAACACCATAGTGCCTCCAAGCTCACCACTAAGCTAAGAACCCTGGGACTGAACATCTCCCTCTGCAACTGGATCCTGGACTTGAGGGTAGTCAACAACACATCTGCCATGCTGACCCTCAACACAGGGTTCCCTCAGGGGTGCGTGCTCAGTCGTGGGTGAACTCCCTGTTTCCCCGACGACATCGTGGCCGCACACGACTCCAACACCGTCATTAAGTTTGCCGATGACACGATGGTAGTAGGCCTGAACACCAACAATGATGAGGCAGCCTATAGGGAGAAGGTCAGAGACCTGGCAGTGTGGTGCCAGGATGACAACCTCGTCGTCAACGTAACTCGGCCACTCAGGAACATTCACTGTCTTCTTGGTAACCAACTCCAGTGTAGATTTGGCCTTGTGGTTTAGGTTATTGTACTGCTGAAAAGTGAATTAATCTCCCAGTGTCTGGTCGAAAGCAGACTGAACCAGGTTTTCCTCTATGAGTTTTGCCTGTACTTAGCTCCATTCTGTTTATTTTTTGTCCTGAAAAACTCCTTAATGATTACAAGCATACCCATAACATTATGCAGCCACCACTATGCTTGAAAATATGGAGAGTGGTACTCAGCAATTTGTTGTATTGGATTTGTCCCCGGGACCACCCATACGTAAAAATGTATGCACACATGACTGTAAGTCGCTTTGGATAAAAGCGTCTGCTAAATGGCATATTATTATATTATTATTATAACACTTTGTATTCAGGACAAAAAGTGAATTGCTTTGCCACATTTTTTGCAGTATTACTTTAGTGCCTTGTTGTAAACAGGATGCATGTTTTGGAATATTTTGTATTATGTACAGGCTTCCTTCTTTTCACTCTGTCAATTAGGTTAGTATTGTGGAGTTACTACAATGTTGTTGTTGATCCATCCTCAGTTTTCTCCTATGACAGCTATTCAACTCTGAGTTAAGAAGGACGCCTGTATTTTTGTAGTGACTGGGTGTATTGATACAACATCCAAAGTGTAATTAATAACTTCACCATGCTCAAAGAGATATTCAATGTCTGCTTATTGAATTTTTTTTAACCTATCTATCAATAGGTGCCCTTTTTGCGAGGCATTGGAAAACCTCCCTGGTCTTTGTGGTTGAATCTGTGTTTGAAATTCACTGCTCAACTGAGGGACCTTACATATAACTGTATGTGTGGGGTACAGATGAGGTAGTGAAGATATTTATAATAAGGGTTACATGGAGAAAATCGGACCTCTCTGAAATGAAAATAGATGGCCCTCCCTTTAGCAAAATATATTTTAC